CTCCCACTAGACCTCTGAAGGTATGCTGTCATATCTAGCACCAAGCCGTCAGTAGCAGATCCTTTTAAGCCCTGTAAATTGCGTGGTGGGTCCTCCATGGATCGCACTTGTTTTTCTAGCACATCCCACAGATGCCCGATTGAGATCTGGAGAATTTGAAGGCTGAGTCAACACATTAAAGTTGTTGTGTTTCTCAAACCATTTTTGCAGTGTGACGGTGCATTACCCTGCTGAAAAAGGCAACCACCATCAGGGAATACAGTTTCCATAAGGGGTGTACTTGGTCAGCAACAATGTTTCGGTAGGTGGTATGTGTCATATCAACATCCACGTGAATAGCGAGAACAATGCCCAAAGCAATCACACTGTTTCAACAGACCAGGCCACCTTCTTTGATTGCTCTGTGGTCCAGTTCTGATGTTCATGTGCCCATTGTAGGCACTTTTGGCGATGGACAGGGGCCAGCATGGGCTCCCTGAGTGATCTGTGGCTACACAGCCCCATATGCAACAAATTGTGATGCACTGTGTGTTCAGACACCTTTTCAGCCATTTGAGCTACAGTAGCTCTCCTATTGGATCAGACTCTCATACTTCAATGAGCCTTGGCTGCTGCACATGACTCTGTTGCCGGCTTATCGGTTTGCCTTCTTTGGGCCACTGTTGGTGGGTCCTGATCAAAACTGCAGCATTTTTTTCTGTTTCCAACACTTCAATTTCCGGGACAAAATGTTTACGTGCTCCCTAATCCCACCCACTTCCAGGTGCCATTGTAACAAGATATTTAATGTTCTTCATTTGACCTCTGTGGTCATAATGATATGGCTGATTGATGTAAGTCAGGTATAGTCCTATTTCAAGCCTGCAGTCTAATAAAAGCCCGTAGGAACCTCTTGCTGATAAGTTGAAAATGTGGGTTTACTTCCGCTTTAACGTGGTAATGCAAGTTGCTTTCCAAAAAAGGATCTGATCCGTCCCTCTTTAGGGATCTATTCATCTGCTGGGCTGTTAATGAGCAGATGGCTATGTAGCAAATTGTGCATGAATGCTCATTTAAAGATTTGTCTTAAACTGGCACGTACCCTGCTCTAAGTTTTCACAGGTAATTAGAGTTGTCAGTCTCCATTACGTAATGTATGTAACTTTCGCCATATCTCTCTCAGGAGTATGGACACCAGGAACTCTTGTTTAGGAAAGTTTTTCTGCTTTGCTATTTGGACACTGGTTTCTTATAAGTCCTTATTAAAAATTACTCTGCACAGCTTTTTTTTTTTTTTTTTTAGTCTGTATACAAACGTGGGCAACTTTGTTGCTTTGTTGCCTTTACAAGAAAGAACAACCCACAATTTTCTGTGAAATGAATTGAAAAATAATCAAAGTAATACAGAAAGTAATTTTGTATCCTTTGTTCCATATTTAATAAAGCAAAAAAATCAGATTTTTTTTCCCGGTTAAATAGACACCAAACATGTCAAGCCTTAAAATTGCGTGCGCCCCGCAAAATCGCAAAAAACACCCATAGTCCCATAGGCGACGCTTAAAACGCTTTTACTGCTCATCAGTTTAGTGTTTAGTGATTAATGGCCCTAAAACTATTGCTCTCTGACGTTTGCGGCGATATGTAACATGTGCGGCACAATAGGTGCAGTCGTTTTCGCACGTAGGCGCACCCGACGCAGAACTGCGTGTGCATGTGGGGGGCGGGGACTTACATTTTTTATGATCCCTGTATTACTTTTTTTTTTTTCACACAACTTTATTGCTATTACATGAGGGGCTAAGAAGCCCCCTATGTGATGGCCAATTTACATGGCAGGTCCTCTTTATGGAGACATCAGGGGTCTCAAAGACCCCTAATGTCACCTAGGGACCCCCAGAGAAGCTGATGAAGCAGAGATCGGCTTCATCAGCTTCTGTAGCTGCAGAGTGACACTGAATGCAGGAAGTAATATTACATCACTTCCTGCATTTGGGGACTGAGAGAAGATCAAAGGGAGACCGTATACTGATCTCACTTTGATCTCCTGTCACAGAGCCGTGTTGGTCCCGGCCGCATCGGGCTCAGCGGATCTCGGGACCGGCAGTGACGGCTGCTAATACAAGCGATCGAGCGTCTCTAGAGACGCCCGATCGCTTGAATGTAAAGCTGCCGGTCGGCCTTCTTGCAAAAATTCTAAAAAAAAAAATGATCAATTGAGCCTGAAGTAACAGCAGTAATGTATATCCTCAAAGAAAAAAAACACTGGACGTTAAATGAAGAAATCAGGTCTTTTGTGTTAAAGACAAAACCTGCATGAAATTAGAGCCATTAATCATCTGCTCTGTTTGTTTTTATATGCATGTACTTTGTAGTCGTTGACTGCAGCATTTGAGTCAAAAAGCTTCTAGTTAGGACCTGGCAACCATATGGCTTTAAACTTTGCCAGTGTGCTTCCATCCTTTCAAGCATGCAATCTGATTGTGTTAATCAGTGTTTGTAGATCTACTTGCGTAGAAGTAGGTCACCGTGCAATTCAGTTTAGGCTGATGAAGGCACAACTCTATGGCAAAGCATGACTTCATGCTGCAGAAATGTGCACGACAAAGGCATGTTTACATTTGCCAGTTTCCATGGCTGGTTTTATATTCAGCTTTTCGAACACTTTGATTTCCCATAGATAAGCTACCTTCTTTTACGTCTAATTATTGTGTGCTGCAGGATTTTCTCTAGCCCGGAATATACTTTATTTTATCGTACGTTGACACATTCTTGGTTTCTCAGCATAGTAGACACCAAAGTAGATTTAAACCTCTAACTAGATGAAAGATACTTTGCTGAAGTGCTGTGCCGCATAAACAAATGCAATGTATGTTTCCTACAGAAAGTGCCCTTTTTGTTTTTTCGTCCATCCTATTTTACATCTCGGGCTTGGCGTTCTGGGGATTACATTTAACAGCTTTTTGGTGACCAACTAAAGAAGCATAAACTTGATTCTGTGCTTTCTGCTATGTATTTAATGCAGAGGGGGTGAAGGAAGGAGATCTGTATTGCAGTCAATAGTGCAGACTTTCTAAGCAGTTTAATCTCCTATCTCCTGGAGATGTGATGGCCAGCGGATATTTGCCAGCAACCATGGGCATAAGGTTACTTCACAGCTGAATCAGGCATCTATAGCACAAGACAGAGTGTGGTATAAGCAACACGAGTGCCAGCTTATAGGAGAGAGCAGTGGTCAGAAAAACTTAATTTAAGGCTGGGTTCACACCATTTTCCAGACCAGATCAGGAACATGGTGCATTGCGTTTTGGAAATTGTTTTTGTTTTTTAGCTTAAAATGGTCTTACAGGTGCGTTCCATGCATTTTTTGATGCATTCCAGACAAAATGAGACATGCAGTATATTTTCTGGTCTGGAACAGACTGCGCTGGTGGGTACAGAGGCTACAAATAGCATAGGGATACATTGGGATGCATTTTGGGATCATCTCAAGACCGTAAACGGTCTTGATGACCCGAACATGGTTTGAATGGGCCCTAACTGGTAGGGTCTGTAGGTGCCTCGTATGTGTTAATCATTGACATTTTCTAATGCAGGTTCAGGCAACCTTGGTACTCCAGCTGTTCTGAAACTAAAATACCTAGCATGCCTCTGCATCTGGAAGTTGTCTGTGGCTGTCAATCTTGCAATGCCTTATGGGGCTTGAAGTTCCACAACAGCTGGAGTACCACAGTTGCCTAATCCTGATCTAATTTCTCTGGCCACTTTTAGGCAATTTGTGTGCAGGGAGCTGCATAGCATTCCCCAGACTTGTCTGCTTTCAATATTGTGTTTATGGGTACTCTTTATCGTTTCTTGTAAAATATATGCCTAGCGTGTTTGTAACTGCCTGATTAATTAAAACAGTAGTATTTTTTTTTTCCCTAGCCAAGGGTTTCCTGCAACACAACTGAGGCGTGTTGATGTTTTTGTCCCCTCTGCATTTACCCTGCAGTATTTTTCCTGCCACTAGATGACCTTGGTCTGATGTCCAGCCTCATTGGACCTGCCCCCAGTCTTACCGGGCACTGAAAGGAGGAGCAGAGGGATGAACTCATCTCTGTGCTGCTTCTCCTGACACTCTGCTTTCTCTTCCTCTCAGCATGCTTGTTGGCACACAAAATGATTGGCTTATAACGATGAATACATAGTTGCATTGTTTGTCTTTTTATCTGTCTAGTGTTTTATCTTTTAAAGTGACACTAAACTCGGGAGTTAAATCTTAAAAATGCACTTCTGTACCTTCACTGTTACCCAAATTACGTTTTTGATATCACTAGGCTGTAGCTACTCCATTTCTGAATTCATGCTGACACTGCCCTTCCTTCTGGAGGGTGGCTAATTTTGTTCCCTGTGGTCCCCTTGTGTAAGTAGCTCCCAAGATTGCTCCTGTGATAGTTTACTAGTTTACTAATTTATATTAAAGTAAGTCTTATCACAGGAGCAATCTTGGCGCGGTGGCTACTTAACACACACAGGGACCATGGCAAACAAACGTAGCCACCCTCGAGAAGGGTAGGAAAGTGTCGCAACAAATTCAGAGATGATTTGAGTATCTACAGCTGAGTGATGTGCAAATAAGGTACATTTTTGGTAATCGTTTAAGTTATTTTGAATTAATTTTTAAGAAGCTAATTTCTAAAAGGCTTAATCATAGAACCAGTAGAACTGCACCCCTATACAGGGTGAAATGTGTAAGAAAGAGGTGATGTGCTGGAACAATAAAATTGCATTTTAGATTTCCAGAACAGTGATGCGTGGCTTCAATCGTACACTGACTTAAGTAAACCTGCCAGAATAAATGTTGACCTAAGACTTTGCTTATGATCATTCCCAATTGTCACTTTTTAGGGTAGCCCTAAAAGGCCTGATCCTTGCCCAGACTTAATACTGGGGTTGGATTGGGCCCTTTATGGCTAGTCTTGGGGCTTGATTCTATTTCAAGAGAAACAATCACTCTAATCATACCTTCATCTTCTATTTAGGGGGAAGTTTGCTGTTGTGCGAAAATGTATTGAAAAAGAAACCGAGAAGGAGTACGCCGCAAAGATTATGAGAAAACGGCGGAAGGGCCAAGATTGCCGCATGGAAATCCTTCATGAGATTGCAGTACTGGAACTTGCACTTGGGAACCCTTGGGTCATCAAACTGCATGAAGTCTATGAAACAGCCACTGAAATGATCCTGGTCTTAGAATAGTAAGTACCCTTCCTCGATCCCCTTTTTCTTTACTGATTTATTGCTTGGGGTTAAACTGCGTTAATGAAGCCCATAAGTGAGCGCTGATTTTCATGAACTGTGCTGTAAATATTTGCCGAAGTCCACTGTCCAGAAAGAGGTGACCCTCAGTTTACTACTGATTTCAGTAGAGCACCCATTTCTGGGAGTGTTGTACATTGAAACAATATATACTGTATGATGTATGTCAATGGGAAGTGAGGGAGTTGGGTACCAGGCCTCAACAAGGAATGGTTCTAAATGGAAACTGGTGTAAACTGAAATCCAGTAAACAATGTAAGTCTGTGGAAAGTTAGGAAGTTGGGTTCCAAGCCTCTCTCATTGACATAAGTAACATAATACAGGTACATTTTATTTAAAGCTCCTTGTGTGAGCTCATGCAGTAGCTTTAAATATAATGCACCTGTATTTTATTACTTGTGTCAATTTTGAGAAGGGTCTGGAACATAACTCTGGTTTCTATTTACAACCGTTCCCTCAGGAAATTGACCCCAGTGTAAATTGAGGGTTAACTATACTTCAAAAACTCCTATACGCAATCCTAGTGTATATCATTTATACCTAATGTGTGTGCATCATGAACCATTATAGTTTTCCCAAACTGCAGTGCATATATGTGATTTTGAGTTAATGTACTTTTTATGCAGTAAAATTAATGTGTTTAGGAACATGGACAAGTTTGAATAAGCCCTATATGCCCACGTGCAAGGTTTGAGAAAAGGTGACCTGCAGGAAGGGTTACTTGCCAAACATAAAATTTTTAGAAAGGGGTTTAGAGTTTACAAATGTAGGAAATTGTTTAGATCGCTCGTCTGTGTATATCACTAGATAACTGTCTTCATAAACTGCACAATTATTTTTAAGCTACATGTACCGACTCCTGTGTGACGGATTTTTTTCCCACTTTTCAGATTGCTACTGAAACAGTAATTCATGTCCTTGGTGCAAAGATATTTGTCCTGCAATCTCCTCTTTGTCATTGATTTGTGTGTTTTGTCACTTGCATAACAATTGGGAAGTTATCCATTAATAGGCATCCGGCCTTGCATAGATTTAAGCAAGCATGTGATGCACACAATGTGAGTCATGCTAGACAATGTTAATGTGGCATCTTTTCAGGTGTTGTAGCTTTCAAGGCCCTGTAGGTTTCCCATACTTTACACAAGTGTTTTTATTTG